ATCCTCTTTTGTTGCCAGTTCAGAGTCCAGGTGGTTGAGTATCAGATTGTTCCATCTTGTTTCCCTTTGGGGTTGCTGTAGGTGATCTGGAAGTCGGTTTTTGAGGCTTGTTTACATGTCTTCTCATTGGTATGTCATATTTTACATTTAGAAACTTTCACTAGTAGGTATATTCAGGTTGGCTTTTCTCTTCAATGTTCTGTTTATCACATCAATTCTGGTAGCTGTAGTTTGTTCATATTTATTGTGGTTAGTATCCCATTATATGTATATTATGTCAGTTTTTTTATTCATTCTTCAGTTGAGAGTGAACCTCTAGATTTTTCTCAGAATATTTCTTTTCTCTTTATTATTGCAAATGTTGTTGAACCTGTATCTTACGTACTTGTGCAAGAGTTTTTCTAGGCTTGTTTATCAGAAAGTGGCCTTATATTGTGGTATCTGCATGGAAGCTGCTTTTTTAAAGGATCATTAGGGTTTTCTTTAAAACAGAGGATTACTGCAGTTTTAAAGTGGTATGATTTATTTACAAAGCTTATTATTAATGTACTTCTTAAAAGAAAGATTTCATTCTCTGTAATGAGGGTTAGTTGCCACTTCTTTTCACATAGCTTTAGTTGAAGTCTTTCTTTTTAAACTTGCAAGAGCAAATAAAAATGCAATTTTAATAAGATAAAATGAGCTCCCTTTTAGTCTACTCTTGAACTTTTTGGAACATTTTCTGCTCAGTAAGCACAAGTGGTTTGCCTATGAAGAATGAGTGAGTTTCTGACTTTGCTGGGAGGGAAGGGCCTGAGGTCTGTAATATATGTTGCAGAGACTTCTGTGGAGGTGATATGCACGGTAGACTTAGGCCAAACTGCATACTATTTTTGAAATCTAAATATATTGGGGATTGATAGGAAGCATATAAATACTTGTGTAAAGATAGATTGCTACTAGTGGTAAATGCTACTGGTAGGTCACCTGATAGTATGATAGTACTGCTCTCATTTCATGCACTGTGTGTGTGTATTGCTAATAATTGAACATAGGGCCTCAGGCATGCGAAGCTCATGCTCTACCAATAGTGCTATCTCCCCAGCCCTATGTACATTTTTGTTTCCATTTCCTGGACTAGGCTACTAAAGCTCAAAGCAATTGCTTGGTTAAAAGTTCACCATTTAGTAAGTGTTAGAGCTGGAACTTGAACCTGGGCTTTTTAAACTTCTTAACCCTAGAAGCTTTCCACCAAGGTCAAAGAGGCCTCTGAGCAACTACAGGAAAATGAATTGATCTGAATGAGCTCTTTACCTTTTAAAATTGTGTTATATTAATAAAAAAGCATTTGATTCTGCTCATGGATTCCTTGGATCAGAAGTTCTGGTAGGGCATGGTGGGGGCTGCAGGTCCCTGCACTGTGACAGCACTGGGAGGACTTGAAGGGTGGCTGAAGTAAGAAGGCTGAGTTGCTTGGCTAGAGCTTGATGCGGCTGTCAGCAGGGACTGCAGCTAGTGGTGGCCCTAAAATGGGGACACGTGGGTGCTCCTTTTGGCTAGTGTGGTTTTTCACAGAACACCAGCTGGGTTTCGAGAGAACACAGCGTGGTGGAGGATGTGTTGCCTTTACAGTGTGTTCATTGAGGTTCACC